CAATGATCCTGGACTAGAAAGAACGAATATACCAAATATCAGAAATTTTGAATAAAGATAAATAATGAAATGTGAAAAAAAAAGTCAAGCAATTATAAAGTTATCCCTATAACCCTTGGCAGGCAGAAATCACGTTTCCGCAAAAAGTGTTCCCCTTAACGATGTCTATTGCGAATGAATTGAACACGCTCGTCCGTCGCGACGCCGACGAGCCTTGTCTTCGTTTTCCGCATACAAGGGGAAGGAAATTTGAATTTTAACATCCAATTGGCTAAATTTATTCCATAGAAAACACGCAGGATATGACAGTCGACGTCTAAAATGGAGGTGTAAAACTTTCAGGCTGCTGGTATGTTAAAACGGCAACAGCGACAAAGCGGCAAACTTTCAACGTAAACGTGGAATAATGAACATTTTGCTTCAGCGCACTTTATTGTTTTGAATGTTGCAAACAAACGAAACTGGTGGACAATGTTAGAAGTGAACCACACCACCTCTAATATTATCGGCGATACCCGGACCGTTTCATACATACACCATATTCTACGGTTACGTGTTGACTGAATACTAATACTACCTGAGAAGTGGAATGTATATGCATTGCGGAATTGGAATGCGCAACTTCCCCGAGTTGAAAAAATTATTTAATCTTTTCTATGTAAAACTTACACTTTTACACATTTTATACGTGTACGTAGATGTAGATTAAAGAAGAAGTAGAAGAACAATTAAGTTTAAGTGTTTAACGCTCGGCTGTAGTAATACAACAGATGGAAATCTTGAAGATGTTAGAGTTCGCTAACGATATACTGTTTTAAGACTCGCTTGGGTTTCTCTGTGTAACTCTCAATGAATAGATTCGCAATTCTAAAATGAAGTTCCAGAACCATACTTCGGTTCTTTGTGCATACAAGTGCTGAAAGCTGACGGATTTGTGTAGGACTTTGTCAGTGAGATTCCTTTATTATTATGAGTCCATGTAGTGAAAAATCCACTCTAAATAACGGAGTAAATTTTGCTACACAACAAGAATATTTATTTAAAAAAAAGTTATTCTGCATCAACATAAACACTATCTGCACACTGAACTCGTCCCCCACATAAATAATTAATTCTTCTGTAAATATTTTCTTCGTCGATAACATGTTCTACACATTTTTTCCAACTAGAAGCTGATATGTTTTCTACTTCATTTTTAATTAATTCTGTTGCTAAATATCAGCGAGGTGTTGTTTCTTTTTAAACTGAGTTTCAGTTGTCCCCATATCAGTTCCATCTATAACACGGACAACTTTGTCCACATTATACTTCTTATCAAACGTAGCACTTGCAATAACTGCTTCTTTGTGCAGGAATGTTCCAAATACACATCATTTTCAAGGAAAAAATTTTTAATGACTGCTTTCTAGTCGATGATGAATTCAGTATTTTTTCTGCTTTTGCAGAATGGTTGCTGGCTATGTCCATCACAACAACACTGTTGGAATATTGGGAAGCAAATTTCCACCAAACCATTTTTCAAAGCAAGAAAGCTACCTCAAATAGGGACTGTTTTATGAAGATTTACGAAAAGGACATAAAATGAATTAATATAACGGTTTATTCAAAGGAAATTTCCCTACTTTTAAAATACAACAGTACGCAAGGTACAGTTCCTGTTGGCTATCATCTTAAATACGGCCCTGGCTTGTGGTACACGTGCTGAAAAGAACACATTCCGAAGTCAAAACCATAAAAGTTTATAAAAACAGTATATCTTTGGGCGACCTTTATGCAACAAGTTTAATAAGCTGAAGGAGTTTATAAACGTGCTTCACTGTTTTAATTCTAAAGAAAATATCCGATTGCACCAAATTAGAAACGCTCAAACTGACTCGCAATAGGGTCTTATGAAGCTAACGTTTTCAGATTCAAATCTGTTATTTTAGGTTTAAGTGGAAGTAGAAAAAAAAAGTTTAGCTTTGCAGTAATGCATTTTATTATCATTCAACAGATGGAAACTTAAAAAACACAAACACAAACAGCAGGTTTAGTAAATGTAATTTTAGTTAAGAATCAAATTAATTAAGAAGTTTATAAACGCGTTTCAATACTATACCAATTTAAATCTACCGAAAATATCCGATTGCACCAAATCAGAAACGCTGGGACTGACACGCGACGGAGTTATATGAAGCTGACATTTTAAAGTGACATTTTGAACACACCCGTGCATAATATTAGCGTATGGAGTGGATTTTTTTTCTTGTGTCCATGAACCCTAAAAGCTTGATTAGTTTTACCCTTGATTAGTTTTTGTTAGTTTTGTGCATAATATTACAGCATGGAATATAATTTTTTTCCTGTGTCTGTGCACCCTAAAAATTCAAATTGGTTCACATTAATCAACAAAAGCTTCACTCCAAAGAAATAATATTTTTGTGATGATCACTTGATTTCGCATGTTCGGTAAACCAGAACTTAAAATATTATAAACGTACTACTACCACTTATACTGAGTTCCTATAATGTTTTTATCAATAAACAAAAGTGGTAACTAAGTGGTAAGTGGTAATTTTTGTTGACTCGGGCTCTGTCACTGTGGTTCCAATGGAAATGTTTTGTCAGCTGTTTCCAAAGAATTTACGTCGCTCTTTATGTCTCTTTCTTTGTTTAAATTTACGATTTCTTTTATTTACATTCTTCTGAGCATTTTTTATTTTCCACTCATTCAACTTATTAGCGGACAATTTTTGAGAGTCTTCCAAGTTACTCTATTTTGCTCCCTTCCATCCCGAGGTTCTGTACGAAAACGTCATAGCCGACTGGTTAACCCTACGATAATTTTACCAAACATTTCTTTCAAGAGGAGTTTTTGTAGAAAATCCAATTTACCTTCTATGATGTTAATGTAAGTTCGGCAGCGATAAGTTTCACACATCGAATGTTTGCCTCCCCGAACGTTTCAATTTCAATTCTGAAAACTCCATTAACTTTTTTGCAATGGACGTCGGAGGTTGGGTGTGGGCTCGTTTACTCCCAAATGACCGAAAAAGACCTATCTATCTAAATAAATCGGCATATAACGTCTTCCTTGACTTTTTCGCCCTAACGAAAAAACTTTTTCTATATCCACGGGATCGAAATATAGCTCAAATATTTTTCCGCGCGTTTACAAAACAATACAACGATTTTGTTGAAACTTTAATACTCTGCACCTTTTCTGGAGGAGTTCTTTTCGCGGTTGCTTTTTAATAAAACCACGAAACTCGCCGCAAACAGTACCCGCAAAAACTTTTATTTCGTAAAGAGTTTCTTTAGAAATTACTTTTCGAACTTTTCCGCAGTACAGCACATTACGCTTATGGAATTTTATTACGCTACCGTATTAATAGAACACGCTACCTATATGTGATTTCACTGAAAATAATCATTTCAGAGCTTAAATTGGATAAATCAATTTGGCAAATAAAATTCTAATGTTTAGAGACCCAAAACAATTTATTTGGGCTTTTATCAAGAGAATAGTGATGAGATTCTTAAAACTACTTGCTAAATACACCGGATGTGACTGCTCGGTTGTGACTATTGGTCCATCTCCTTTTATTTGCCTGTTTAACACAAATGATGTTTTGCTGAAAGTCTCTTTGCTTCCCTGAACAAAAACTGCTTTCTTGAATTTCATCACCAGATCTAAGGACTGCATTAATCTTGTTATGCGTTGGAGCTTTCGTAATAATCAATCCTCTTAAGCAACTTCTTACGCAGCTGATTGTAGCCGTTTCTTCCTCAAAAATGAGCTGTTTTGTGTCAAGACTTTCGCTTTCTCTTCGTTGCTTTGTCAGCTTCTTCTTCAAACCAGTTCATGAAAATGTTCATAACGACTGGAGGTACTGGTGTAACAGTTTTTTGTTATAAGTGAGTCCAGCAGAAAGCGCAAAGGCCTGCTGAGACCTAGGTGTTTCTGGAACATTGCTTATGAATAAGTATCAATTTTCATTTACATCTACAAACTCGCCGGAATTTAGGTTCTCTTCAGTATAGCATTCCTCACGGTTCGAAGCTCGACCTCACTTCAATTTAAATAAAATATAGTTACATCCGTAACTCGAACCACTAGACCTGCGAAATGGCGTAATGATCACAAAAACTATTGTTTCAGCAATACAAGTTTTAATCACCATACTGCGAAATTTTGAATGGACCCTAAAGTAATAATACATGTTATTCAAATAACCCCCTGGCAATGTCGATCAATTAAGCTGTTCCTATTCAATTATTGGTTAGTTTGCCATCGGGGGTAAATGTAATGGCGTCGGCAACTAGTTTGGAGTGTGGTGCAGTGTATTACCGTCTAACCGAGGACATTTGCTAAAAACCACTATGATTATTGGTGGTGTATTTGGTTAAATATTGCTAGACAGGTGAATATACGCGATCTGTCACCCATCAAATTCTGCATATTGAAATTTTTACAAATTGTCATCAAGAGAGAACTTAGATTTAATAGGCGTGAGCTTTACTCCCAATTAAAGGTATAATACATTGAAATAGATACTTAAGCTCTGAGACTAGATTACTTCGCTGCACGTTATGATCTGTTTATTCCTAATTAAAGTTCGTAGGTGCTGATAGTTTATATTCCATGAGTTGCTTATCCGGCCACTTATCCTGTTATTTAAGTGGGTTACTTATTCTTCTCCATTAATTTTCCTTTTATCTCTGCTTTGCGTCGGTATTGCTCCGCCCAGTTTATCAAGCAGTTTGCTACATCCGCCTTCCATTTCCTTCTTACGTTTCGGCTTCTAGGTTCCTTGCTACTTTCCCGTCCATTCTCTAATCACGTCTTGTATTTGCTATTTGTATCTTGTCTCTACCCTTTGTCACGCCACGTGTTGTTATTTGTTTGGTTTTTTTCCTGATCTGCGCCATCATTCTAATTCAACTTTGTTGACTTTTCAAATATACACAATTTTATGACTTTGCAGTTTGTGCCGAAATTTATTTTAATTTTGTTTTAGATGCCCTCGAAGATGAGTGGCAGTGGCAGCCAATGCCAAATCGTCGAGCCGCCCAGTTGGTCGAGTCCCTCTGCCAGTCCGTCTCCCCCACCTCCGCCGCTGCCCCCGCCAGTAGCGGCGCGCTGGGCTCGGACAGAGCAGAACAGTTCAGATTCATGTCCGCACTGCAGAGGGAGATTGGCTTCGTTACCTACGAGGACTACGTCGTTGAGTAGTTACTCGTGCAAAGGTAGGATTGTATTAAAACAATTTCAGATATAGGCTAAATATCGCAACTTGTGGCAGCCTCGGGTTTTAAAATAATTTTAAGACAATTAGATAAGGTTGCGTTTGGACCAAAGCATATATATTACAAACATATAACATTCTTTTTATTTTAGCTACATAACAATTTTAAAATTCCCCGCATTTTTCCGACATTGTTAAAGTAAAACATCAATGTGTTCTTTAACTTTCAATCTAGTTTTACTTAGTTTAACTTACAAATGGAAAAATATGATGGTGTATGAATAACAGAGCTGCCACAGTTGCAGACACACTTTTGTAAAATCATAATTGTTTTCATTTGCTAAATTAGAAGCTAATTTTTGCAAATTACTTAAAAATTACAATAAAATTTTCTGATACATTTCTTAGATATCGTTGACGCATAGTTTCATTTTGACAATTTTAGACATTTATTTTTCACGGCTTAACACTAAAAATGGCCCATAAACTATGACGGCGCGAATTTTTCTGGTCGAAGTAACATAGAAAGCGCATTAGCTCCACAAGAAGCTGTCAAGTCAAGTCTTTAAACCTTTTCACGGCACTTTCAATGCTGACAGCAAAAGATTATTTATGCCGCGAATAAGTACGTGCTAAATTGCAGCACTTGCACTGGTATATATATTTATAAAGAACTGTAGAGCAGCTCACCGACGCTTTTACACCAGCCGCGTCGACGAAATCCTTTTTTGCATTACTCGCACTTTATAAATTTTTGAAAATGTATCCATCCGGTACAGTTTTGTTTTTTATTTCTTTACCAGCGATGGATAGACAGACAAAGTAAAATATTTCGTGCAACTGCATTTGAGATGTAAATTGTCTGAGCTCTTACTAAATTTGGGACAAATAGCTCTGGCATAATTTATGTGTGGTTTCCATTATTTTTCTAAACAACGTCTACCGTAGATTTTGATTTTCGAAGATATTGCAGGTATTCCAAATACCTGAAAAATCCAAAGGAACTAAAATTCCACAGCTCATTTTATAAGAAAAAAGTCATTGGAAAGCTACCAATATCGTAAGAGAGTTATGAGTTCAAGAAAACAATGCAGCTGAAAGGTTACAATTAATTTTGCATTAAAAGATAACAGGTGAATCGTATTATCTGTAGAACTTAGCATTTACTCTCCCCGAGGCGTTAGAGATTCTGCAAGAGACGAATTTGAAACATCCGGTATAACAAAGCGATTAAAACCCAGACACTTAAATGTACTTTACTTGATTAAAAGTGACAAGGAAATCCAAGCTCGAGCCGAAATTTATGTTTTTAATACCGAGAGCAATATCTCAACCTATTACCGGTAAATATTCGGGAGAATATTGGCGTAAAATCTGCTAGAAATTTCCTGCCCCCATTCATCTTTCGTCTCGAGCACCTACTGAATACACGCGTCTATTAAGATTCCAGAACCTCGTCCTGGCACGATTTCACAACTCGCGACGCGAAGTATTAATGTTTAATACGGAATTATTGTCTAGACCGGTAAGTTAAATGTATTTTTGAAGTCGAAGGCATCTTGGAGAAAGGAACCTGTTTAAGCAGCCTCACAATTATTGTTACCCAAACACTTCACTTACCGCATTCGAAAATTTTAACTACACGTAGTTTTTATATATCATTTATTTTAGTTATTTAAATAATTCATATGGCAATAAGAAGGTATAAATATTAAGGGATCTTAGATTTAGTAATAAAATTAAGTATTGACAAAATTTGTGCCAGCAGTTTCTTTGGATGTAATTAATTAATTTGTTAAAATGAAATTAGCAATTTTTTAGGTGAAATTTTAAATTAATAACGTAATTTATTTTAAATTAGTGAACTAAAGAAATTTATTTTGTATACCAGGATTAGATACCCTATCATTTTAAATTTAAATAGATTAAGCTAAATTATTAGAAGTCGTGTTTTTCAAAATTTAAAAAAAAATGTTGGTATTTTAGTTTACTTAGAAGAACCTGTTTATTAATTGATAGTCCACAAATTGAGCTACTTTTTCGTTAAGTTTATATATCGTCGTTAATACTGTATAATGCTTAATAAACGAGTGAGATAAAGAGCTTACCAAACGTGTTGCATTACTACAACCGTCAGGAAAAAATCACGATTTAACAAATTAAAAATAATAACAGATTATCGGATTGTGAAATTTCTTATTTGTTCAGATCTTTATCTAATTAATGGAAAAGATTAAATGGTTTACATTAAATTAATTTATATTGTTTTTTTCAATGTAAATATTAATACTAAAGTAGAATTAAAAGTAATATCAATTAAATTATTAATATAATTTTAGCTCTACAATATGTAGGGGATAGGCACTTTATTAGAGCTCAGGACTACTGATTTTAGGAAAAAAAAGTTTATACAAAAGTTTTATGGTTTAAATTAAATTTTAAAATTATATTTATATATACGAAAAATGCTGGACCCACATTAGTTTTAAAATTTTAAATGGGACGAATTTTGTGTAGTTTAGAAAGAATTTGGGTTTATATATTTTTTTATGCAAAATTATGTTCTTAGTAAATATGATTTTCCACGACTGGCAGTAATGACTGCTTTATCAAATTTTAAACACATTTTTAGAAGCCTTCTTTCTAACGACCTGCGATGACTAGGTATTTTAAAATTATACAGGGACTCTTCAACTAAAGAACATTTTTTTATATACCCGCTTTAAGAAAAAATACATATCAAAAACATGGGCGTCTCATTTGAAAAAAAAATGAATACTGCAAGTTGAAATTAAAAAAAAAATGTCCTATACCTAAATCTAATGATTTTCGAAATTTTTAGGAATAAACTCGCTGGTGAAAAATACTGAATTATTTCAAAGAAATTTATAGTGGCATATCTTTCTTATATTTTATTTAATTTAAATCATTGTTTTAATGAATGATGAAATAATTTATTAAGATTAATATTATTATGAAACTTACTTTTTACCTTAGCAGTAACCACCTGTGGGAACCAAATAAGTGTTTATAATTGTTTTAAGTGACGTTATAATTAAGAATCAGAGCCTGACAGATGTGATTTTAATCAAGTAATATTATTATTACTTATGTTAAAAATGAATAAGGCGTAAGAAAAAAGAGATATGCTTGAATGTTTTTTATCGAATTCGAAAAGTCCAGCTCCGGCTTTTAGAGAGTATCAAAGAAAGTTACTGTTGTTTGTTGCTTTTACTTGTTACAGTTACTTGTTTTAAATTTTTAAACTTCTATCATAATTATACATATTATTTTACATCGTTAACGATATAAAAAATGATGACCTTTTTAATTTCCTAAAACTATAAAACTCTGTATTATCCTACCTACAAAAAAGACCTATCGCCCATTGCAAAAGACCTTAAAATTAATTAAAAAATAAGAATATGTTTTTTTTAAATTCATTAAAATAATTAAGTCAGTATTTGGAAAACTATTGGATTTACGTATAGGACATATATATACCAAATTTTAAAGTATTTTGACCTGCTTTGAGAAAAAATATCAAAACCATGGGCGTCTCATTTAAAAAAAAAATGAATTCTGCAAGTTGAAATTAAAAAAAAATGTCCTTTAATTTAAGACATCCTGCATAATTTTAAAATACCTAGTCATCACCGATCGTTAGAAGGAAATCTTCTAAAAATGTGTTTAAAATTTGATCATTACTTCCAGACCCAATGAATAGTTTAATGGCCACAGTAAGACTGTGCAAAGGTAACATAATCATTAGTTTTTTTAATTGAAAGCTTCTATGAATGGTCGAATAAGAAAGCTTCTATCTCAAAATAATTTTATTTAAAATTTATTTTAAAGCTTAAAAGTTAGTTAAAGACGAGAAGGCAGTATAGAGTTTAATAATATTATGATTTAATTATTTAGAATATATATAGCAAATTTTACTTATTATTTGGTTGGAGTGACTTAAAAATTTAATAAACCTTTTTTACATGTAATCCTTGATTTATAGAAAAGTGATCCTTTAACAAAGATTAATAGATCAAATAACCTTAGTGACAACAGCGTATTTTTGTTGAGTTCAAATTAAAAGCACAGTTTGCAACCTCGATGTTGGATTACAATATATATTTGGTGTAGAAGCTAAATTAATTTGATCTGTTCGACTATTGAAATTTTATATGATCTGAGTTTAGATCAGCTTAAGCCAGGAAGGTTTCTAACTTAGTTAAGATTTAAATTTTTATTACGAAAGGACCAAAATTTTATTAAATTAATTTTATATGAATAATATTAATATATTGAGGTTATTTTGGTAGAAAATTGTGTAAGATTTACAATCCCTTTATGTATATTAAATGCAAGTAAAAAATGATTTTTTTAGATGAAATTATAATTTTTGGCTTAAGGTTAATTTTAGCATTGATAGTATTTTTGATAACATTATTACAACGTTGAGTTTTAGGGACTATAAATAGGTATAATTCACCCTTTTAGAGATACTTTAAAATTATTTTTAAAGGAACAATCTTTTCCTTTAAAGTCTAATATTAATTTATATTATATTTCTCCAATTTTAAATTTATTTTTAGTAGGTAGATTTACAGTGCTTGTCATGACTTCCATGTTTGGTACTATATAGACGAATAAAATGAAAGAATTATCAGTCACATCGCAATGTTTTGATGTAATTGTCTTGAAATTCGCTTTGTCACTGCGTTTTCAAAATTGCTTTTATAATCAAGAAGTAAACCATGTATTTTAACAGCTTAATCAACGAGTGACTAACCATGAATTTTTGGATACCTTTTGTAAAACCGGAAACGTCCGAGGTGGATCGGATAGTGGGCAACGAAAAATTCTGTATTTTAGTGTAGGGAGAAGAAAAAATATGTGTTCTTATGGTTGCATACTCCTTATTGTCAACATGTATTAGTGATTTCATCAAAATGCATACTCCTGTATTTTAAGCATCATTCAGTTTCTTGGCTTATCGTCGGTGGA